GGCAGAACATCTTCTCTAGTGTGCTGCTCATGTGACTCCGTCCTACAGCGTGGTGTTGGCTGAGTGTTAACGGGTACTAATTCACTTTAGGGTCTCTTCATTTGTGTTTGGGTTGCTGGCCCAATTCTTGTTCTCCCTAGAATCTCAGGGGTCAGTAGGGATAAGCCTGTCTGAATTTCAGATGGCTGTGTAGGTCCGTTGAGTACAGTGATTTTCTTTCTGTGTTTTCAGCATCAATTGTTACTCCTGAATGAGGCGCTCTGTAAAAGGCCCCCAGTGCCAACTTCACAAGGATAACCCGACTGATAGGATAGCTGACTGGCGGGTGAGACGTTGGCCCGCCTCGTCCTCTACCACAGCATCAGCAGCGTGGCACAGAGGTGAGCCTAGTGCTCAGCCTGTGATGCAGAGCTCTGTGGCTTCTGCCCTGGCTCTGCTGTACCATGTCCTGAGGTCCTATGCTGCCCTGACCTTAGCCTGTGGACACCTCTTCTCTCTGTTGCCTGTGCAGCGAGGGCGAGCACAGAACTGTCCTATCCAAAGCTGTGGGCCAAGTGCTCCCTGCCCAGCTGGGAGGCCAGGGAGGGCAGGGCTGGGATGGGCAGCATCTTGGCCTGTGCACATGCGCAGTGCATACATAGCGACCTTAGTTACCTTGGCAACATTTTAAGGTTGGAACCAACCTTTCATTTGAGTAAAGAGGATAACACATCTCTTTTGAAGTCCAGCACAAAAGCCCACATAAGACAAGGGGGAGAACACTGTCATAATTTTGAGCGCACCCCCCACAAAAGGTGTTTTGGACCCACGGAGCAGTTTCCGGCTCCCCCTCCTTCTACAACAGGTGCAGAACCACTGTCTGTCATCTCCTGTCGAGGGTGGTGCTGGCTGCCTTTGAAAATAAGCGACTCTACCGCAGCACACAGACTTCAGTAATCCCTGTGTGGGATGCATGCACTCTGGGATCTAATCTATTATCAAAGAGGAGCAAAAATGTATCTGTGGTTTTAGCAGAATTTTGGGAATACCTGAATTTAGGTTGTGAGACAGGGCTGATTTTCAGCACCCCGGGAAGCACACTTAATTTTGTCTGATTTTCAGCACCCCAGGAAGCACACTTAATTTCAGCACTGCCATCCTAGGAATCTCTTTTCAGAGTTTAGCCTGAGTCAACAACTGCCAGATACATCTTGTTATAAGCGAATGAATAAAAAATTACGTTATCCCACACCATACTGCTGTGACTATCTGTGTTAGGGGCAACCTAGCCAAGAAGGTGGGTGTGCTACTTTGTATTTCATCTAAAACCCAACTAGGCCAAAGCTGCTGCAGTCAGTCCTTTCGTCTCCCTCCAGTTGACCTGTCTACCCTTTTTCTTTTTGAGCCCAACAAACTTCCCAGCTTCTAACGTACCCAACTGCTCAGTGTTCTAGAATGGGGTGCCCAGGCAGGTTGTGCGGAATGTCCTGAACCACAGCCGTGTGCATTAAGGTTGTGTGAAGGCAAAAGAGCAAGACCACGGGGTGGAAAGTGCCAAACAACTGACCGTGGTAAGCATTGGTGCAGCCTAAATGTCTCTTCTGTAAGTGCTACGGCCGTGTCCAGAGGGCTCCCCAAGGCCTCGCGCAGCCTTTGGCGGGCTGGCCGGATCCGGGGTGTGTGATGCTGGACAAAGCGTGCAGCCCCGGGGCTAAGGCTGTGTGAGCACTAACGTAGTCCACTGACTGCTTTGGCACAGTTCTGGGTGTGGCTAACATGAGCATCCCGTGGGTGTGGCTGTGGGGGTGCTGTGCACCCTAAGCGCATGCAGCCTGGACAGAACATAAAGGGCGGCAAGGGGCTGCTTTGCTGTCTTCGTGCCATGTGTGCTGTTTCTCCTCGACTTTGCCCCTTTTCCTCGCCACCCTGCCACCCTGCTTTGGAGCCAGCCAACTATGGATGGAAAACTCTACAAGTTGTGAGCTAAAATAAACCTTTCCTCCTTTAACTTTGGGTATTCCAAAACACTAAATGAGAAAAGAAACTAAAACGGTCAATAACTAAAACAAAGGCAAAAGCTGGATATTAAGAAAAATTCAAGCTGGGTATAGTGGTGCATATCTGTGACTCCTGCACTCGGGAGGCTGAGGCAGGAGAATCTTGAGTTTGAAGCCAGTCTGGGCAACTTGGTAAGACCCTGTCTCAAAAACACTGAAACAGACTCAGAATTCAATTTGAGGTCCAGCGAAACCCTTGATGTTTGCTGTCACAAAAGCCAAGCCTGTCCAGCACCTTCTCTTTTCTGGCTTTCCTAGTTCATCCTGGAGAGAACATGGGACACAGACCGTGTTTCACCGCACTGGTATTTTTGCTGCGTGCTCACCCCTCGCGGAGCGCACTTGCTGCCAACTCACCAATTTCATTCTGCAGAGAGAGATTCCGGGACAAGTTTCTCAGCAGGGAGACGGCCGTCTTCTTCACGCTGGGGTCCCCGGTGTGCAGCATCTTGCGGGTGTGCTGCAGGCCACTCTCCTTCTGCACCACAGTCTGCGCCACCGATGTTGGCATCTGTTTGGGAAATGCGGGTACTAAATGCACATGCGCTGGAACATTACCTTCTTTTATAGCATCCAAGAGGCTAAGGGAAGTGTTGTAGAAACTAGACACGTGAAGAAACCAATCTGAAGATATTTTCTTTAAATTATCATTAGGGCAGATTAAAGTGCCTGCAAGCAGGCGCAGGGGCAGGGGGTTCGATCTCCCAGCCTGCTGGGCCAGCCCTGCCTCCAGGGTGCACTGAGACTAGGCGTGGTGGCACGTGCCTGTAATCCCTGCTCTTGGGAGGCTGCAAACAGGTGGATCACTACGAGTCTGATCTAGTACTGAGGCCCTGAACACCCTGTAGACCACCCCCCAAAAAAAATCTCATTAGGTTTTCAATGTAATTATTTGACAAAAACCAGTTTCTTCAATAATTTTGGGGCAACGTTGGATTTGGCCAGCTGTAACCATTCCCACCAGCGCTTGTACATGAAGTAGGTTTGGCTCCCCTTTTCTCACACTGCCCTTCCTGACTTTAGAGTCAAGGTTGCAGTTATGTTTTACGATTAATTCTGTCTTGAACTGTCTGTACTCCAAGAAAAATCCACCCTCTGCAGGTCTGGCAGAATTTAGCAGTGAAGTCAGCTGCACACATCCTCAGTGCCATGGACGTGCACTCACCTAGGAATCAACCCAGCCACGCAAAGATTTCAAAGGAGGTGGGTTCGGTCATCGCTTCAGCTTACTGACTGGTTTGAGCTTTCTTTTTGTCCATGTTTGCCAACTTTACCTACTTCAATCAACTTTCTCATTTCAAAACAAAACCCTGCTTAGTTTGAGAGCAACAGCGGGCTGATAAGGGAAAGGAAGGAGCGCACTCCCGGCTGGCGCATCTGTAGCCTTGCTCGGTACCCACAGCCCACTTTTGAATCAGGCTGGCAGATTCTCTCCGAAGGTCTGAATGTCGACCTGCCCATCCCTGCCATCCACAGTCCTTCCATTCTGGGGCCGTCACTCCTGTCTTTGACTTTATACGGGACTTCTACTTGAGGCTACAATGCCCCAAATTCCCAACCATCTTTCAGGGTGTTCATCTGCTGCTTGTTTCACCCAAACACTGCCTACACCCTGTCCCTGGCCATAGTCCTCGTCTTCTTCCTCTCTCGGGACCTTCCAGAGTGGGGAACTTGGTATAACATCAAGGTCAGGCTGATGGGATGGGGGTCCCTAAAACTCGCTTCTGTTTATAATCAGCACTGCTAGGGAAATGGCCTTTATTCTTTATCAGCCTGTCAAAGTGTCCTCGGCGCAACGTTTAATCACAATGGTGCTTTCACAAATGAATCACAACTTATCTTTCTGTGATCTGCAGAATGTTTTGTTAGATTAATTGCTGTCCCTGGAAGCCTCCTCTCCCCTCTGCCATTGGGAAAGACACTATTAACTCTGTAAAGCTCCTCTGCCAGGCAGGCTGAGGGCCCCTCTTTCCCCAGTGCCCAGACTCGCAGTGACGTCTTCCTGTGTGGGCGCTGCTGTCAGCTCAGTGCCCTGCAGCACCAGCCTTCAAGGCTCTGGATCTCACTAGAAGCCTCCTCTACCTCTTCCTCTCTATGCTAAAGATGAAGGTGTTGAGCCCACCACTCCTAGCCTCCTATGTCACCAGCCCCCCACTCTCGGTCACATCTCTTCTTTACTTTCTGACTCACACCGGGGCGCATGGACGCTACACCAAGGACGGGCTTCATATCCGCAGCCACCTTTTCATGCTGGCTGGTCTTCACCCGCCTACCAAAGCTGCAACACAAGGTTTAGTTTCGTTTTTTGTCCTTTCTGCTGTTGTTGTTCCTAGCTACTAAATATCACTCAAGCAATCAGTACACCTTCAGGTTGGTCTGCAGCTTCTCACCTCAGGGAAGAACTCAAATGTAGCTGGACTGCCCGCTGCTTCTTAAACACTGGCTGGGATCGCAAAGCACTGCGCCAGAATGGTCCTTCTAAAATCCAATCTCATTATGTTCCACCTTAGGTTCATACTGAATTGACTGACCCTCTTTTGCCTTAAGAATCCAAATGTCTTAGCATGGCTCACACAGTCCTTTATCCCAGGGACCTCGTTTCTGCTCCTCCCTGATTCCTGAGGTCACAATGATCCTTGACTCCACTTTCTCCTACCAGGCCATAAACTTCCTGAAAGGAGGGTGCGCCTGCATTCTCTCTGTGCACAGTTACGCTCTACAGAAAAGCGAAGAGAGGACATTTGGCTATGATCCTAACCGTGCCATTAGGGTAAGGTAAATATTGGTTTTATCATTTTCATAACATTCCTCAGAACAGAAAACACACTTCTGTGTGAATACTTATGCAAAGAATATGAGCTTAATTCAAGTGGGTATTTATGGAATCCCTAAATATGTACCACTGCATAAAATTATTCACTACTTTATACATTTTGACTTTGCTGAGATAAAGTCAGTGCACCTGGAAAGAGAGGCAGCAGCTTTTATTGCAGAGCCGAATTTCCAGGGCACAATGCAGACAGACGTCTCCCCCAGCTCCGCCTAGAGCAGACATCTGCTGTTTTTCCGGCTTAGTATCCGTTCCTCCTCCTTTGGTAGGAACACTCTGCCCTTTCGGAGAGGGAGCTGCGCCTTCACCGTGCAGCTGTGTGCCGAGGGCCGGCCTGGCCGGGGGTCATCCGGGGCTCCCCTTCAGGGCCGTGGCTGAGGGTCGGCTCAGTGAGACACATTTGCTCTGGGCCTCAGGTGCTCCTGGGGTGACAGCTCTGTCCTGCGGGTTGCTGGGCTGGTAAAACACTACCCTGAAAAAGTTCCTGGCTCTCCTGGTTACCACATGGGCAGAATCTTGGAGAACAGAAAACAGAGCTCAGGAACGGGAGTCGCAGGGCAGTCGATGTGAGCAGCTTGTGCGCTGACTCACGCCCTGGCCGGGCCAGACAGACCCGAGGCTGAACTCCTGGCTGACAGGAACCTTCCCTGGCAATCCCGGAGAATGGTCTTGACCCAAGAAGAGAAACTGCGCTCCTCTCTGCGCCTGCCTGTATTCCTGTGACGTCACTACCTAGAGAAGTAAACCAGCCAGCAGGGCACTCACCGGGCCGCTCCCTGCCGTGAGGTTCTGCAGCGCCCCTAGGGACGCTTCCTGCGTGTAGTTCCGCACGCTCTTGGCGATCAGCGACAGGTACATGCGAATCACGATGGAGTGCCACAGCCACTCCACGCCCTTGGGGTTGCTCTTTTCCTCCGGCATTGGCACGTCCTGGTATTGCTAACAACACACGGGAAGAAATCCAGGATTACTATAGCTCGGGTGATGCCAATTCTGCATCCAAGGCAGCAGCCAGAAACTGTCTAGAATGATTTGCACAAGGAGCTCTTAAGTGGAAATTAAGAGGACAAATATATATGATTTCCCATTACTTAACTTTATAGCCCACGATTATAATTTGTCCCCAACAACTGCCCACACTCCCTATTTTACATTTCACAGCAAGAGCAAGAGAGTGCGTGTTGCAGATGAGGCATCGGTCTTTCTAAAATGGTTTTCTGGCTGCTTTTAAGCTAATAACTAGTCAGGCACCACTACCCCGAAGATAAGAAATCCCTCAGAATTATGTGAAGTTCTCTAGGTAGCACCAGGGCACTAAATTTGCCAGTTGTTCTCCAAGTCCACAAATGATACTAAGAGGAACAAAGTAGGTTCTGTGTTTTCAGTTTTCACGTCAGTGTGGAAACAAATGTGCATTCCTTCCCAGAAGTTTACTTTTAGGGTGTCCACAGCCAGGCATCGGGGCTGCTTGGATTGTCTGAGCGGTTGACAGGCAGAGTGTCTACACCGTTGCCGGTACCACACTGAGGTCATTTCCTACCCTACAGGGCATAGAACTGGACCCCTGGCTAATGCAAATCTAGAGCCAGGTTGCCGAGGCCAAATTCTAGCCCTTCTGCTTTTGTATTTGTTGAATTAACCAAGGAAATTTATGTTTTCTGTGCCTCTATTTCCACACTGGTAAGTGAAGGTGCCAGTTATACATAAATTTTCCTCCGGCATCGGCATGTCCTGGTATTGCTAACAATACCAGGTTGATACAGGATTAAAATAACCTAAAATAGGTTCCTACAATAGTGCCCGACATGCACCAAGTAGGCAGAAACACACATTTCTCTTCCCCCTGCACCCAAAGACCTCCCAAAGTACCTCTTTTACTTTCCTGCTTCGACTACCAAAGCACCCAATGCTTTTGCTGTTGTCAGCCTGGATATTCCGGTTTTGGATGTAGATGCTCTGGGAATAGTTCTCTGGGAGCTCTGCCTCTAGCTGGTAGGAGAGGTTGTGAAGGGTACACACACAGTTCTCTGTGGCCTGAGGACAGGAACAGGAGTGGATGTAGATCATCAGAGGCTGAATTTCTTGAAACAATGGGGAGCCTCTCTCAGCCTGTCTTTCCTCCCTCAAGCCTCCCTCCTTCCTGTCTTCATCTTTTGCAGGTCACTGTGCATGCATGGCAAGCTCTCTGACCCTGAGTGACATCCCCAGCCCTTAGGCATTTTAGAGCGCATCAGGATGACAGTGTGTTTAGATACTTAACTCACAGCCACCGTGGGTAAAGAACAGGTGATACCGTGCAGAGGGGCGATGGCAGGAAGCTTCTGCCCCAATCAGAATGAAAGATACAAAAGCCAAGACAGCAGTAGTAGTGTCAGGGAAGAGTAGAGAAACTAAGACTCCCTTCAGAGGCAGAATATGCACAACTTGTTGTCCAGTAGGCGGGGAAAGGGCATTCAGGATTCCTCAGCTCACTACGATCCCTCCCCAACACTGCCCCTGTACAGGGGATTAACCCCGGAGACTTCTCACTGTTGTTGGATGCAGTCTCCCTACTCTGCAAAGATGTACACTTGCCGTCATCCTGCCTCGGCATCTAGGGAGCTGGGATTGCAAATCCATGTGATTTCTATCTTGTTTTCAGAAGTAACGGAAGTTATTAAGGACTATGCAGAGGAAGCACAAGTTTTGGGGTGAAGGAAGAGATAAATGTAATTCTACCACAACATACATAGCATCTGGGCTCCTCTTGAATATCTACACTGAGTTGTTAAATAGGCAGTTGGAGCCTGACACAGTGACCCACACCTGTAATCCCAGCTACTTGGGAAGCTGAGGTAGGAGGATCATACATTCAATGCCAGAGAGCGTCATTTAGTAAGACCACGTCAAGTAAAAAATGAAAAGCATTGGGGATGCAGCTCAATGGTAGAGTGCCCTGGATTCTACTGCTACTGTCTCAAAAACAGAAGCAAAATAAGAGGCAGTTGGAAAGAGGAAAGCAAGGCTTGATAGGTTTTAGTATTTCCATGCAGGGATGAAGAACCTTAAGCTCAACAAAGGAATCAGAGCCTAAAGTGAAGTAGATATCTTAAGAATGTTCTGAAGCATCTCAGTAAGTCAAAATAGCTCATTGTCTAGGTAAGCCACAGAAGCCTCACTCCGGAGCACCTTGTCGTCAGGCTGGTAGTCTGCGATGGTGCCCCTGACATAGTGGACCAGGGCGTCGATGAGGCCGTCACACCTGCGCATCACTTTCCTCCCTTCAGGGCCAGCTGAGCTCATGTTTCTATCAGGAGAAACAAACACACAAGCAAGCACCGTAAGTCTTAGGCCGTGGAACTGACAAGGCTTTGCTTCAAAGCTTTACTTGATGTTTCTTCTAGGTGTTTGGAAACTGGCAATTTTGTGAGAGGGTCAGACACTCGTCCTGAGACCAATAATATATGAATTGCCTGATGGTCATCAGATCTGAATGCAACCTCTAGACACAGCCACACAGCCACGCAGTCATATCAGTGAATCTCTGCCAACTTCAAGTACCACAGTCAGAGTGTTCTTCACATAATCTTCACTTTTCAGAGGGTAGATATGAGGCAAAGATTTTAAAACTAAAGGATGAACAAATGGCGCATTAGGTATAGCACCACACTAGATGTCTAAGTCCCAATTTGCACTATGTCTTTTTTTTTCC